AAAAATCGACCGAACTGACCGAAACCGAGCCTCTAAAAAATTGACCGAAATCGACATTACATTATATGCGGTTCGATCAGTTATATTGCAAAATTTTTTGGTCGGTTTTTTGATCTAAACCAAACCGAAACCGACAAAACCAACCGCCACACACCCCTACACGCAGGGGCAGCCACATACGTAACGTTACTGATGGGCAGCTCCAAAACATCGGCATCATCTTGTCGTTTCCATTTTTCACACTTAAGCCATGGCACTTAATATTTTTTTTTTCAACTATAATAACTTTTTTTTCAACATAGTTTGTAACTTGGTCTCTATTTTTATATTTCACTAAAATATAAACTTTTGAAATTAAACATTTTAAAGATGATGTGTAATAATTTTTCTTTTTTCAACATGGCTTATAATAACTTTTCTTTTTCTACATGACACGTAACTTGGTTTTTATCTTTGTATTTCACCAAGACATAAACTCTTAGAGTTAAATACCTTAAACATAACGTGTAATAATTTTTTTTCAACATGACATGTAACAATATTATTTTAAACATGAGGTGTAGTAATATTATTTTTTAAACATGACATATAACTTGGTCACTATCTTTGCATTTCACTAAGACAAACTTTCGAAGTTAAACACTTTAAACATGACATGTAACGACCTTTTTTCAACATGACATGTAATAATATTTTTTTCAATGCGTGCACTTAAATATGAGAAGGTTTTATTAAAAGTAATTTTGTTTAAAAATCTTTTTCTCTTGGTTAGAAACAGTTAAGATTAAAAAAAAGTTATTTTCGAAAACACCTTATCTTTAAAGACTAAAAAAAAAATTATCCTTATATAAAATATATTTCAATAAATATAAAAATGTGCAATGAGATATCATCACAATAACCAAACACGAACTTGAGCGTGTTAACAACTAAAATTTATTGATTAATTGTATATTTAGTGTTTGAATTATTATAACATTTTGATTTGGTACTTAAAGAAAAAATTCACAATTAAGTATATATCTACTTTAACTTTCATTTTGTTAAGTAAATTGTATGTGTAACTAATTTCATTAGTCAAATAACTTTTCTTTTAAATTTCAAAAAAAGAAACTTTTATTTTGATATGGTGTTTTCGTATGTTTTCTTTTTACTCATAAATTATAGGTTAAATTAATGAGATCCTATTATATTATGATTATGATTCTATTAGCTTGATTCTCTTATACAGCACGTACTTATTCCCTGCTTAGTCCTTTTTCATCTATTAGTTGCATTTTTGGTGGGGAATAGCCATTAACCATTTTCCAGTAATGACTATTCCCCAAAATCTCAACTTAACCATTCCCCACCCGTCCCCTCGTAATATTTTCTATTTCATTTTGGAAATATCCTCATTCATTTTAGAAAATTGCAATTAAAAGACCTATTAATAGTTTCTTTACTTCTCATTTTCCTCTTTTTTTTCATCTCTCTTTCCATTCTTGCCTTTCTCCTTCTCTCTCTAAATTTCCTCCACCCATCAACGAAGGGTGGTAGTAATGGTGGCAACAACGACTTTAGGACTAGCTCTAGAGCTCCCCAGCTTGGTCCAACCGAGGAAAGATTGGATCTGGCATCCACAGCCAAATTCGATCGCAAGAAAAGCTAGATCTATTGTTTGCCAGCCAAATCCCTTTGGCCGAATTTGGCATTCTACAACTAGATTCGACCATGGAAAATATCAATCTGGTGCCTTGGTGGCTACATCCGGCCACAAGGAGTACCAAATTTTAATTTGTTTTGCCAACCACATCTGTTGTGGCTGGCCAAAAAAAGAGAATGAAAAATGAAAAAAAAAAGTTAAAGTAAAAATTTATGGTTTTAGTTATATATTATAAAAATTAATATTTTAATTTAAAAATTAATTAAAAATATTAATAATTTAATCATAATAATATTTAAATTATAAATGAAATGCATAATTATAAAAAAAGCTCTTGAACTATTTAAAAAATATTTAAATAAACTCTTATTCTTTTATTACGTTCAACAAAGCTTTTTTATTTTTATTTTGGATCAAATAAATTTTTATAACTAATGGTTAACTAATTGTCATTAATCAAAATGTTAATTATTGTTTTATATTCAGATAACATTGATGTGGCACTAATATAAATATAATATAACTATGTAATCATAATAACGTATCACGTTATTATTTATTATAAAATGTCAACATATCATATTAGTTATACATCAATACCACATAACATAAAATAATAAATAATATTTTAATTAAATCAATCATTAGCCAAAAAGGTTTGTTTACTCAAAATAAAAGTATAAAGGTTTATTTGATTAAAAATAAAAGCACAAAGGTTTAATTAAATGTAATAAAAGTATAAGAACTTATTTGAATTTTTCTAAACAATTTAGGAATTTTGTAAGATATCATGCCCAAATAAAATATTAATATTTAAACATATTAATATTTTAAATTATAAATTATTAATATTTTAAATAAATAATAAATTATTAATATCTAAAAATAAAAT